AGTTAGAACACTAATTGACTTTGTAACCATATTAGAATTGACAACAAGAGTTGCCAACAATCTAAGTCTGCAAAAGCAGTTCAAATGTCATAAAACTCACGCAACTCCCAAAACAATTTTCGTGTCTTGTACAAAATTGCCATTAATTAAAATAATCAACGAAACAGAGAACTCACTTACGGAACAACCCTCGTAACAATAATAGAGGATTCTAGCGAATGCAACCCTTTTATGTATCTATATCGAATGATGGTCAAAAAACGCAAAAAAGAAGAAAAATGTGAAATGCATTCCGGGGTCTGCCCAGACGAATGCATTTAATTAACACGAAAAAAAAGAGTTGAAAAGCCTGCTAAGAGAAGGGGTGAAGAGAGGGGCATGAGAGAAAGAGAGAGAGAGAGAGAGAGAAAGAGAGTGAGAGAGAAGGGGTAGCTGCGGATAATGCTGATGAGGAGGTACAAATCGCTGAATGCATTTTCTGGCTACTCGAGAGACGAGACGACGACGCGAAGGCCTTGCAAAAGACCTTGTGGCAATGAGTGGGTGGGTTGGATGAGTGGTTTGGGTGGTGCAGACACAGGTAAGCAACAAAATGCATACAGCCTATGCCTAAATATGTGCGGGGAAACTGGATGAAAATGCTGCGAGAAATGTGAAATGTGAGAGGGTGTTGCAAATGTGTTGGCCTCCAGACGCACCACCGAAAAACGCACATGATTACTACAACAAAGGCGGTTGGGGGGTGGTGGGAGGTTGTGGGAGGGAAAGGGATGCCAAAGGGGAGCTGCTGCTGACTAAGCTCAGTGCTAAAATGTTTGTTGTTGCCAGTCTGCCTCGGATCGGTCAGACGAATATGCAATCTATTTTTAACTGTCTGGCGGAGGCAACTGCTCTTCAGAGGCTGAGGGGGTGTGGAGGGCGTGTATTCTGAATATGTATGGAGTGGGTGGTGGCTGCTGTATTGGCTGGGATAGCATGCAAAATTTATTTGCCATGGCTGTTGATGCCACCGCGTGCGTCACGCAGCCAGACGCATCGGCGTCGTTGCTGCTATGTGCACTGGAATTGTGAGTGAATATGTGTGTGTGTACGAGTGTGTGTGTGTGTGCGAGTGTGTGTGTGTGTGTGTGGTTAGCGGTGCAGGGATGGAACCTGCATCGCAGCAAATTGCAAGCTGTGGTCAAAAATTGTTTGCTCTTGGCGAGCCAAAGTTACAGCAAGCAGTGAACTGAAGCATTCACATCATGAAAACGTACTCAAAAACCAGTCAAAAGCGAATGAAGTGAGTGCAAATTATGAATACACATGAATTGCAATATGATATGCATATATACATATTACATATATCAAATATATAAGCGCCAAGTACATACCTAAAGGCTTTGGCAATCATTTCAAGATTTGACCAACTGGCTGACAAGTTCTCAATTTTAAGCAAATAAATATTTATTCATTGTGAAAGCAATTTCTGCTTGGCACAATTTATAACATTTAAATGTGAGTAAAAAATGATTTATGAATCAAATGGTTTTTCACGAAATTATTGATTTATGATTTCAATTAACCGAAATTCTAAAACTTTGCATAAGTGCATAAATCAAAGACAGATTGGCACTTTTAAGCTACACAAATTGTAGTAAATTTGTGCATTAAAACTGGTCGCTTGAGAGAATCTTGTGGAGTAAAATATCCTCTACCTACTACTGTGTATGGTCAGCAGCAGATTGTATCAATTTGGTGATAATGAGATGTCCTCAAATACAGAATGTGACGCCTTAGCCAGATACAAATTTAGTATTCTAGGGATATATTTCAGCCATTCACAAAATATAATGAATCTGTATGAATATAAAGTAGCTTTTAGCTGAAAATGTTAAGCTACGGAACCACTCTCAAGGTGTGTATTATTATTAATATGATTCTTAAGGCCTGTGCACTAAAACCACTTGGATTCAGTGTCTCACACCGAAACCGCAACCACTAACTTGCCTTACCGATTGACAATCACTATCAAATTACGATTCGGTTTGACAACCTGCTTGATTCTATACTAATTCTCCCTGATAAATGAGCTATAGTTCTTGGGCCAGGCCCATCATGACTGTTCCTAGCCTCGTTGTGGTTCTAATAGTTGCCCAACTAAACGATTCATAGTTGGCTTCTGTCCACGCAATCTGCCCTTAAGTTCCAGTTGTAGCTGTAATCTCGTCACTCTCTCTCAGGTCAAGTCCAATCCACACGCATCATCTCTTGCACAAATTGTGTGTGTGTGTGTGTTTTAAGCCGTGTATTAAAACGTTTAACTCGGCTGCAAGTGTCGTTAAGAGCGTGTTGCATAAGATTTCTTTCTGCCAAGCGCATCCGACGCACTGCAAGTGTACTTAATCACAGTGGAAGTGGAAGTGGATGTGGAAGTAGAAGTGTACTGGGGCTGGCCAAGTCAGAGTGGCAGTCAGTCAGTTAGTCAGCCAGGTGATTGTAGATCTGTGAGCACGTTTGCGACCAGCTTGCAGGTTCACGGCACGTACGCAGCTCGCAGGCAAAAAACAGCATTCAGCTGGCAACAAGCTTAAACGATGCCAAGTGGCAAGCGAAGGCGATGTCGACAATGTTGGCCTGGCCTAAACTCAACTGAACTGAACACTGAACACTAAACACTAGCAGCTTTAGACCCCACCAAAAAGCGTAAAGAGGCAAACAGGGCCAAAGAGCGACATGGCCAAAACTCTTCAAATGATGAGAAGATGCTGCTTCATGTGCTAATTGCGCTGTCAAGTCAAGTGTGCGAGTGTGTGTGTGTCTGTGTGTGTGTGTGTGTCTGTGTGTATGTGTGTGTGTGTGTGCGTTGCTGAGAGCAGACGGAAGCAACAGCTCAAATGCCACACACACACAGCACTAATGACGTAAAGAGAAAATTTGTTGCCTACTTTTGCACGCTCTCCAGGCAAGAACAGCAACAGCAACAACAATAAAAACCCCCCAAGAATTTCCCAACAGCAACAAACACATATATATATATATATTTATTACAAAGTAAAAACATTTGCCATTTGCAATTTTCATTTATATTTTTTGTCTGCTCAATAAAGTTTCCATTTTGGTTACTTCTCCTGCTGTATTTTCTAAAAATTTTACATATTGCCAATGACATAAAAACAAACAAACAACGTGGAAATTTTATCGGCAAGCGGCGAGAGATAAAAATGCGCCGGCAAAAAGCAGACGCCAACAACAACAAACAATATTTTGGCTCGCTGCTGGCAATGGCCAAAATCGATTTTTCCAACCCTCAACATGTGGCAGTGGCAAAAGGCAGTCGAGAGCCGGCTCTCGACGCTGCGACTCGACTCGACTCGACTCTCCCGTCTCTTCGACTCTGCCACTCTCAAAATACTGTGTGTCTAGTCGCTGTTCTGCTCTGCTCTGCTCAGCTCTGCTATGCGGTTTTTGGCCTCTGATTTTTCTTCTTTTCTATTTTTTTTTTGGCGAGCAGCAATTTGGGAATGAGTTAATAAAGTTTTGGCAAAGATAGCCAGCGAAAGAAATCGGCAGACTGAGTGGAGTACATCAATCTTATCTAATTGGTGTTTATTTTACCTTGAATTTTGTTAATTTATATAATATATAAGAATATATATAAACATAACTACGATTCATGATGCTAACAAGTCGATAAATTATCTAAAATCTTTGCTAAAAGTTATGTGCAACTTTTTGAAATGAATAATAATCATTCAGCAGCCAAAGAAGTTGTCAAGTTGTCAAGTTCTTATTATTTTAGCTTCCATAAGGATTGGCTCCACTTATTTATAAAGAATTTCAAAGCAGTTGGTAAATAAACCCACAGAAATTCCGCTTTCAACTGATTACTTTAAAGTTCTTAAAGAGTTCTTAACAGTTTCGAGCAGCGTCCTTGGCAAAACTCAAATCAGCCGTTGGCATTGCTGCATATAATGAAATTTATAAATGGCAGTCGAACAGTCCAACAGTCTCTCAAAAAAGTACTCGCCGCCTGATAACTTTAAGAGCCAGCTCTTGCAGCACAGGCTGCACTTCAACCCCAAAAAAAGAAACAAGAAGAAAAAACTTTATCAGGCATATTTCATTTCTGGTTCTGTTTCTGTTGCTGGTCGCCATCCCCTTTTTTGTTATCAGGGTGCTGAGTTTAGGTCTGGGTTGAAAGCCTACAGTTCGCCACCCACCGCCCCGACTATGTCCCCAACCCCAAATTGATTGAATAGACCAACAAACAACTAAACCAATATATGAAAATGTGTGTGCTTGTTGTGTGTGCTTTTCAATCCGACTGCCTGTTCCTGATAGGGGTGGTTATTCAAGTGGAGCCATGCACATATATATATATATATATATATATATATATATATATATATATATATATATATATATATATATAAATATGTATATGTATCGAGAGTTTTCCGCAGGTAATTATTATTTAATATTTGGGGGTTGATTGAAAACATATCAGAAACATTTTTGTTGTTGACATTCAAAAGGCTACTCAAAATTGATATAGTTGAAACCTTCTTTGAACAAGAGAGAATGGTTAGATTGGGCACGTTAAAGTTTATATACACTAGCAGACAGGAGTCTATCCAAATCTTAATATCGATTTAAAAAGCGGAGCTCTTACGGGAGGTATATAGAGTATATACATACTATATGCATGATATAGTAGTCTGATATTGATCATTTTCCGTAAGTGAGAACTTATATACAAAAATGGAAATATTCTGTTCACTTATGCTCTGTCAGCTGGGCGAGTACATGCATATGGACAGATGATCATAGCTATATCGACTCGCCTAGCACTGCTGATCAAAAATATATATCTTTATGGACTGACAGACGTGTGTTTCTAGCTAAAAGGCAGCTGCTCTCTCTAGATACTTGCCATTTTTTTGTTAATGAATTTGGCGTATCGAAATTATAAATATTTATCGATTTTTATCGGTGTTATCGGAAATATTGGTACTCACCCTAGCATGCATGTTGACGTCGTTTTCGCCGGGCTGTTGAACACCGGTGCGTATCTTTTTATTCTGGGGTCCCTCGCTGACGACGATGGTGGCCCCGCCACCGCTAACGCTGCTGCCTGCGACAGCACCACCGACACCACCGCTGCCGTTGCTCGCACCGTTATAGGGCATTGTGGTCGGCGTGTTGAATGTGAGCGAAGCCTCCGTCGTGCTAAGCAGTGTTTTTTTCGATAGAATCTTGACGTTTACTTTTGGCCGTAGCCGACGCTTCTTTATTCAACTGCACAGTTAACAGAGATATGAATAATGTGTGTCTGTGTGTGTGTCTGTTGTGTGTGGTTGTTGTGGCAATGCGTGTGTGTCTGGTGTTGGTTGTTGGTTGGTTGCTTGTTTGAGTGAGTGTGTATAAGTGTTTTTAATTTCTTATTTTATTTTTCTTGTGTGGCAGCACTCACTCGAGAACGAAGAACGAACACGAGATACTCCGCAGAAAAACGTTTGTTAAAAATGTTGGTTTAAAACGCGCGCGATTTTTTGATAACTTCTCCTAATTGATTTTCGAAGAAGTTGTAAATAATTTGTTATATATAATATATATATATATATTTACTAAATGTTGCCTTTGATTCCTTTTTATTCTTGCTTTCTTATTTATTTTGTTGCAAACACACTTTTTCTTTTATTAATTGGCCACTTTCAACCGCATTTGACGTTTTCTTCTTCTTATTGCACTTTCAATTTGCGTGTTGAACGTAATTTTTATTTATCGCCTTTCTGTGTTTGTAGAATCAGCTGTAAAAGCAAGAAAAAGAAGAAGGAGAAATGGGTTATTAAAGCATGTGACTTCAAATAATAACAATAATAACTTTACAGCTGACTTGAGTGAAAATTCTCGTTGCAAATTGCACAAATTAACGTGGACTAAAGAAAAGACTTTCTAATAATGCAATCAGAGTTATTAATTTATTAGACTACTTAATGAGTATTTAAACAATATTCATTAATCAGACATCAACTCGAACTAATGTTGCATAAAATGAGTGTGAATAAAATTCTAAAAAAAAAAATAAATGAATATAAAACATAATTGAGCTTAAAATTGCAAAAAATTATCTAAAAAAAGCTCGCAATATTTTTTGTAAGCATGCAAAACAGTTTAAGCTGATTCGCTTTGAATAAAGTGCTCATCAAATAGAAATAGCTAAGTTTTTATTGTACCAATTTGGATATATATATTTATATATGTATATATAGAGCACATAGTTATCTCTTTATGCATTTTATCGTGCAACTGTTGCTCAATTAGACACTAAATTATCAACAATCATATCAATCATATCGATTGCCTCTCAATAGGCACATTTGGCGCTTTATCAGTCAAATAGCACAAAAAGGGAGAGGGCAAAAACAATGGCATGATATAGATTTTGTGGCATATGCATACAAATTGACATAGTTGGAAGTAGATATAGCGTATAGCATATATACATAAAGTAAACAGTTACGCAAATAAAAAAGATAGCTGATGGATCATACAAACAAATGGAGTTCTTATCAGAGCTGAGTAAAAATAAAAGACAGATTTGCATATACATCTATATGAATATTATCAAATTATTGATTGAGGATCCTAATAATATAGCGTGGAATAGTACTTCGAAAATTCGTCTAGAATAATTTATATTACCATATATATTTAAAGGATTTCCTTATCTTTTGTATGAAGAACTTCAAAGCAGTAGCCAAATAAACTAAATCCAAAGTTACCTTTGCTAAATAACAACACAAATTCCAAGCTATTATCTGAATTCTTTACCAAAATAATTACTTCTATGTATATATGGATATTATGATATCAAAGTAAATTGCAACAAAAATACATTAAGCACAACATTTTGGCTTGATTTAAAAATAATACAAAAGAAACGCAAGCATTTCACAACAATATAATGCAATATAATATCATAAGTAATATATATATAAATATGTATATTTATATATATATATATTTTTGTGTTCCACATTCTGTGGCCAGGTTTTTTTGTGTCTGCAAATTATGATATGTTGCAACAATGGGGAATTCATTCTAATTGGAGTTCCGAGCGCATAAATCAGCAACAACAACAGACCAAAAACACAATGCACAGCAAACACACACACACGCACAACAAGCATTACACACACACACACACAGAAAGAGACACACGCACAGAAATTGCAGGAACAACCCTCGGGAAGAATCTGAAGCTGCAAGCAGCTAAAATATAAAATAAAGCGCCGGCAAAACAGCAAAAAAAAAGGAATATGGCCGAAATGTCAAAATAAGTGTAGAAAAGGACATCGACAGCAAAAAGCAGACAGACGGACAAGTGACAAGGCAACAACAGCAAGAAAGCAACACCAAAAGCGAATTGGCGAAAACGAAACGAGAATGAAACATGGCTGAACTTTTAAGCAACGGAAAATCCGCGTGCAAAGTAAACTTGAAAAAAGTTGTGTTTTATTTTCATTGTTGTTGTTGCAACCCTTAAGGGGGAAAATGGGAAAGCTAGAAAAAGAATCGGAAAGCGGACAACGCGATTGCCGTTTGCTTGCCGCTGTTGCTGCTTGCCTTTGTTTTGGGGAGAAGGGAGAGGAGGCCAAAAAAAAACAAGGAAAAATGCCGGGGGTTGATTTTTCATTAATGAAACACACAACACACACAAAAACGCCGCGCGCGGAAAAGCGAACGAACTTTTCTCGCTTGGTTTTCTTCTTTTTTTGTTTTTGTATTTTACTTCACAGCTTTTCAGCTTTATTTATTTTTTTTTTTTGCATACCCCGCGCTTTAAAATGGCGGCCAAAGCACAACAATTTTACTTTTGATAAACTGTTGATTTTGTTGTTCAAAATTTTGCCAGTTATTCACAGCTACAATTTGTATTGTTTTTGGGTTTTTTTGTTTGTAAAATATTGCTGAATTTTTGAAATGCACACAATGTTGGTTTTTAGTTTTTATTTGAATTTTTTTTATGTTGCGAAAGTTAGAACTGCACTCTATAAATTTCTAGCTGTCAATGGACGATTTGATTTGGTGTTGTTGTTGTTGTTGATGCATTTGACAGCGCCTACTTACATTTTTTATTTGAACATTTGACAGACAATTGACAAAAGTTGCTGCTGTTGTTGCTCTCTCTCTTTCTCTCGCATACACGCACATACACATATGAACGACGACGACGGCGACAAGCAAGCAAGGTGAACGAAATGTGATTTGATATATATTTTTATTTGTTATGTGTGAAGTTGTATTTGAGTTGAATTGAATTTTTCATCCGTTATATTGAAGACTTCTGCTGTTGTACACTTCGGCGCCGCGCTGGCGAATGACGGTCAAATAAGAACTGAAAACCTGTGAGAGCGTTTTCATCAAACGTCAGCGTCGGCTCTGCCTGCCTGCCTTTTTTTTTCTTCGTCGTGTGTGCACACAACACGAAGCGACGCGCGTCGGCGAGACCAAAAAAAACAAAGAGAGAGAGAGAGAGCCGGGCGGAGAGCACGCACAGGTAGCTTAGCAGCTCTTTAGCTCTGACAGCAGCTGCACGCGTCGTCGATAGGGGTTGCAATGTCTCATAGAGAGAGTGAGAGTTGAAGAGGGAGAGCGAGAGAGAGAGCATGTACACATATATGTATGTAGCGTGTGAAAGGCAGCCAAAGAAAGAGAGAGAGCGAGCGGGAGTATGAATAGTGTCAGCGCTGTTGGTTCAGTAAGAGTAAAAGTACCTTTTTGGTACTTTTAGGTTTTTTTGCTGCCCTTTTTGTTTGGCTCTTTCGTGGGTGGCAAAGCAGCACCTACCGGTTACGTTCTGTTGTTGTTGTTGTTTTTGTGGTTGCTGCTGGTGCGAAGCAAAACAGCAAAGCAAACGAGGCGCTTAGAAAACTGTTTTCATACTTTCTTAATACAATTTCGCCTAGATTTTCACAGACACAGACACAATCACATATATCGCGATTATTAAGTAGCTGCATTTGTATGCAAGTTGCAAGTGAAACGGTATATTAACACTTTCACCCGTTTGGCGAGGAGGCGTCGGCTTTTTTCTGCTTACCTTTTCAGTAGATATTTGAGAGATGATTGTTTTTTGTTTTTGTAGCTGCTTCTTTCGTTGCTGCACTTTCAATTAATAGCAAATATTGTTATTATTATTATTATTGTTGTCTAACTTTGCGTGGCAGGCGATATTTATATTTTGCTGCTGCGATAATCGCGTGTCTGCTGCTGCTGCTGCTTATTTCTCCAGCGGCCCTTTTTTTTTGATACACAAACAAAACGACGGCTGGGGCAGACAGAGACAGGAGAACAGGCAGCCAAGCAGTGAATGACACAAACAGTGGCTGACAGAGAGAGACAGAGAACACACACACAGCGACGAGAGCGTATTGCGAGAGAGAGCGAGAGAGCGCGCTGGGAATCGCACAATCGAGTTTGAGAGATTGTTTGCGTGTGGCTGTGTTGTGTATGTGTGTGTCTGTTGTGCACGTGTATGTGTCTGTGTGTGTGTATGTGACGTCGACGTCAATGCGGCGATTCAAAAGAGAGCGAATATAGCGCACGCAATGGAAAAACTGGCGCGGCGACAACAGCAACAACAACAAAAGCGACGACGACGATGACGACGACGACGCGCGGAAGTATTTAATTAAGCCCAAAAAAAGTATTTAATTTAAATTGATGGGTGGTGGTATGTTACCGTATGCGAAATGCACACTCACACGTACATACGCGTTAAATTCACAATACACAATTGCCGTTGTCTCTCTCGTTGTGGTGTGCGTGAGTGCGTGCGTGTGTTTATCTGTATGTGTGTGCGTGTGTTTGTTTATTTGTATTTGTTTCTGTGTGTGCACTTTTCTGCTGCTACTGAAAGGTTTTCAACCGTGCGCCACAGTGTCTCAATTCGTACTGAGAAAATGAGCGGCACGCTCAGCGATCAAAAACACATTTGACCACATTGTGTGCGAGCAGTATGGCATGCCCGTGCTCGTGCACGTTCTCGTGCTCGTGCTCGTGTAATCGCTCTCATTTATTTACAAGCGTGCGCGCATCGCACACAGCAACAGCAGCGAGCAGCGAACAAGCAGTAGACAAAACTCACGCAAGTGTGCTGAGAGAGTAACCAGAGCGCGCACAAGTGAAATGTGCTTGCTCTCTATCTCTCTGTCTTTCTGTCGCTCTCGCGCTCCCACTCAGTCTTGTAATAAAAGCGAGAGAGAGAGCGCCAGAGCATAAACATGCATACATACATACACGCATATATATAGACGTATATGAGTTTCATGAGAATGCTTGCATGTGTGTGCGCCATGCTTCACTTTGCTTTGGCTGTGGAACGCGCGCGCCTTGTTTTTGTTGTTTGTGACTGGCAAAAAATTGAGCACAGTGGGACAATGGCTGGCAAGCATGTGGCATGTCTATCGAAAACAATATAGTTATAAAATATTTATAAGTTTGTATTTAAATAATACTTTGCAGTTATTAGAAAAGAACCTGTTTCTCTTACTAGTAGCTCAACTCTTAATAAAGTTTTCCAATATAATCTATATATTTATAATTAAATTATTATAGCTTCATATTCAGTTGCATAATTTTCACGTATATTCATTAGCGATAAGCATTTATTATCGATAAGTACTCTCTCACACAGTCAGTTAAGAGCGAATGCTTTTGCGTTTACTCTTCTTCAACGCAGCACGCCACTTTTCCACTCTTTACGCTCTCGTTCACCCACGCGGAGCAACAACAGCAACACCAACAAACTGCCTTCGACCTGCTCTCTATTCTCGCTGCATTCCATGCAATTACTATTTTAACAGACGCCTTTACATTCGCTAACAGCGCTCTGTTATTGAGCAGAGCAACTGAGTTAACAGCAGTTGGACTTTAACATTAACAGCGATTAACAGGCATGTTAATTAAATTTATCGTTATTTAAAATATATTTTTGAAATGAAAATGACAAGATGGGAAACTAATTTCTTTCAAAATCGAATAAAAACTATATGAAAATAAATGAATTGAGTTTAATGCATATAAAAAATAAACCAAAATTGTCATATTTAAGTATATTTATTTATATTGTATGTTAAATAATTTCTAGTTTTAAACTTGGGCTTTAGGGGACTGCCTGCTAGCTTGCTCCATGTAATCATTGCCCTGCCTCTCCCACTTTTGTTATCTAAGTTAAAACACTCTACAAAAAAAAAAAGAAGAATACGAAATGCATTTTTTTATTTTATTTTTTTATTAGATTTTATGATGATGGGGTGTGGATTGCTCCGTGCACGACAACAATGGTAACCAGGGCAGTCAAATAGCAGGACATCATCCTCCCCCTCCGCCCACCCATGCACCACTTCTCCCCTTACCCATCCCCTTCCCTCTGTGAGCGCCTAAGTCGCATATACTGCACATGAATGCCGCTCGATGGTTACGTGTTTTCCACATCACTCCACCCACTCACCACCCCCCTTGCTCCTCGCTGCTCCTCGCTAGCCACCCCTTGGCATTGGCATCCTTTCTCTCGTTGGCTGTCCAAGGCTCAGCGTTCTGCTTAATGCCAAAGTGCAGGACAACAACAACAACAACAACAGCAGCAGCAAATGCAGCAAGCTGCCTGGTAAACAACATAAACTATTTAGTCTATGCATCTATGAGTGTGTGGGTGTGTTATGTGTGTGTGTGGACATGGCCAGGCATTGGCATCAAGCGTGGCCTGCCACAAGCTCCTGGCCAATACCCCTTAGTTTTTATTGTGAAGCATGTGTAACAAGCAGCCAGCTGAAAGCATTCCCAATTTTTAATCAGATTAACAACCTCCTTTTACATCTCAAATCTAAAATTCACAAACAATAGTCATTATTTATTTAGTTATTTAGTAAACATCATTTACAATGCTCTAAATGGATTCTTTATCAAAGGGTTGTGCACAACGGTTTATAGAAATGAATACAAACTGTTTAATTATATGGCAGATGATAAGTTGTCTGAAGATGCTAGATTTATACAGATTCTCATAAGATTCAAATAAAGATCTAGAGGGTGTAAAAGGTGGGTGATTAAGAGGCTACAAGGATAGAGAGGTTGACTTGAGGAGGGTAAGGCAATCTTGAAGAGATCATTAGAGTAAAATTCTAATAAGCTGCTGCTGATTCTCTAGTTAGCAAGGGGTCAATCCAGCTAACCTTTTTCAAATCCTGATCGCTTTTGTGGATTAACTAAGACTATAACTAGATGAGGGGGCGATATTCCTCATCACATTCTGGAAGATTGCCCAGGCAGACTTAGACTCGCTCAGCTAAAGTGTCAATACACCCGCAACGATAGAGAAATAAATAAAACAATCATCATAAATGGAATCAAAGTGAATTTAACAATAATAATAATAATAGCAAAGTGATTAAGTTAGCCTTGAAGCTTATCTCTATCATTAGCCATCTAATGATTAACTGTTCTTAGAGTTATTAAGCTTTTCGATTGCATTCTACGAGTAAAGGTGAACTCTTACAACAAAGAAAGAAATTAAAAGGTTTTCAACTACTCAAAAATTTAAAGGATAACTGCAAGTCGTTCTTTTTAAAGCACTATTTCGTCTTAGTCTGGCCTTTGGCAACTGGAGCGAAACTCTTTGCCAATGTTTGCATCATAAAATATGGATTTAGTCGAGTGTACTCGAGTGTGTGTGTGAGTGTGTGTGTGTGAGTGTGTGTTGCAGTTTTGTGTGTGTGTGTGTGTGTGCGTATGCAACGCTCGAACGTACTTATCGATAAGAATGCTGTTGTTATTGCTGTTGCCATGTTTGCCTGCCACACTTGTTGCAGAGATTGCATTGTGTCTTCTTCTTGTGCTTCTTTATAAAATACAATCAAAAGTAATGCAAAATATGTCCTTAATCTGATCGCAAAACATATCGAGCAATTGCATAGCAATCAGCTTTAAATCGTGTCAATTTAAATATAGAAATGTGATTCTTGGCATATTCCATTTGCAATTTGAATAGATTAACAGAAATCAAAGCATATCGAATATCGAATAAATATCCCTTCGACTGAGAGTCTATGAATATTCTATGTACTTCTAAAGTCGACAAGTTTCGGTTTCTAAAATCAAATATTGGTCAAAGGTGATCAAAAAGGTTTGACAGAGCTGTGAAAGTGTCAAAATTTGGTTGAATCCTTTTGGCTTACATGAATATTAACCAGAACAAAATCTGGTTCACTTGTATTATGTGTGTAGGGCGGTTATCCCTCACCTCACCTGGTACTTTAAGAGCACTCAGTTCCAGCAGATAAGATAATAAACTCAAGTTAAGCGAGTGCTTTTCTCAGCTTTCA